ACAGGATTAAGGATACCTTTAAATTTTCTGAATTTTCACCTGGGCTGCAAACAAAAATCTTCATTCTGGAATGCAATCTTGTGGCAGTAGTTGGAACAGTAGGTCTCCTTACATCTAAGAAGAATTTTGTGCCCTTGTGGTATACCCACAAACACTGCATAACTACTGACAATAGCCAGATAGCGTAGATATTCTGTGCTATTTTGCGGTGTAAGTCCTCCCAGAGGACGCTTGTAGGTTTAAGTTCCACAGGAGAGAGAGGGAGGGTGGTGTGACGTGGGTGGAGGAGTAACGTGGGTTGGGGGTGTGGTGTTCCTCACTCTGCACTCTCTCACTCTCACTCTCACTCACCCCACACACAGAGAGAGAGAGAGAGAGAGAACTGGACCGACCGACCCCGCGGTTTATGTTCAGGGGGTGCCAGTAACTGACCGAATTTAGTTCCCATAAGGAATATTGTAAGTAGGTTAGAGTCCATTTCAGACCCCCAAAACTACAAGTACAAACGCAACTTACATAATGGTCACATTTGGAGGTGATCGTTAAGCGTGGTCCACTGTGATTATATATATACCCATATAATCGTTCTTTCTTCTCTTTTAAACACACCAGCCATATCCCGCCAAGGCGGGTGGCCCAAAAGAAATTACAAAGTAACGAAGTTTCCTTCTCCTAAACGTTTAGAATATATACAGGAGAAGGGGTTACTAAGCCCCTTAGTTCCTGGCATATTAGTTCCTCTTACAACACTCAAGGCATACGGAGGAAGAATTCTGTTCCACTTACCCCATGTATATTAAGAGGAAAAGAAAACAAAAACTAGAAAGAAAATAGAAGAAAACCCCAGAGGGTGCTGTATATATGCTTGTGCATGTATGTGAGTGTGACCTAAGTGTTAAATAGAGTAGCAAGATGAAGCCTGAATTCTTGCATTGTGTATGAGACAATAAAAAGACACCACAATCCCTACCTCCATGTAAAACAGATTACAGCTTTTGATTTACACTTGGCCGGAATGTAGAACCTCGCTGGGCGTTGCTGACTACCACCTACTACCTAGAAAATTTTTATATATATATATATATATATAACTATATAAATATATATAATCTTTCTTTCTATCAACACACCAGCCGTATCCCACCGAGTGGGTGGGCCCAAAAGGTAAACAAAAGTTTCCGTTCCTCCTTCATAAGATAGTAATATAACATGGGAAGGGTTACTAGCCCCTTGCTCCTGCATATTAGTCTAGCCACTTACAGACACTCAAAGCTAACGGAGGAAGAATTCTGTCCACTTTCCCCAGGGAGGATAAGAGGAAATAAACAAGACAAGAGCTAGTAATAAAAGAAGAAGAAAACCCAGAGGGTGTGTATACATATGCTTGAACATGTATGTGTAGTGTTACCTAAGTGTAAGGCATTCATTAGCACGACGTACCTTAAACCTTGCATGTTAATGAGACAGAAAAAACAACCACAATCAACCATCGAGTAAAACAATTACAAGGCTACGATTTACACTCACTTGCAGACGGTGTACCTCCCTGGCGGATGCTTGTCTACCAACCTACTACCTAGAAAATTTTATATATAAAGAATAAATATAAAAATATAAATAAATTAATATAGAAATATATATATATATTATATTTTTTTTTTTTTTTATTTTTTTTTTTTTTTTTTTTTTTTAAACAAGTCAGCCATCTCCCACGAGGCAGGGGTGGACCCAAAAAAGCAAGAAAATCCCCAAAACGAAAATACAAATCACTCACACACACCACTTACATACAACACACTGGACTCACATCTATCACTGATTTTGCAGAGTGAGCACAGAATACAACAGTCTAGAAGCCTACAACATATAACGATACACAACATATCCCATCCCACAACTGCCCAATATCCCAAAACCCCTCCTTTAAAGTGCAGCATTGTACTGTACCCATTTCGATCACATGACTCAGAGACGACTATATGAAAATAACCAGGATATCCCTTCCCCATGAATCCCTGTCACAAAAAATTACCCTGCTCACACTCCACAGGATCGCAGGTCCCAAGTATCAATCGTCTCCGTCCATCACTCCTAACTAACACGCATCGTGCCGCGTAGCGGGAAGTCCAGAGCCCCCTCGCCCCCACAAAACTTCCTTTAACTTAACCCCCACCATTCCAATCCAACCCTTTCGAGGACGACCCCTACCCCTCCTTCCTTCCGCCAATAATTAATATGCTTTCCAATGACAAATCTACTTTGATCCATTCTCCCTAAATGACCAACCCCACCTCAACAACCCCTCTTCTGCCCTCTGACATTAGCATTTATTAACTCCGCACCTTCTCCTAATTTCCAACACTCAGAATATTCTGCATAATATATACACCACACATTGACCCTTATAACATGACATCCTCCCACAGCCTCTCCGTCTCCTCGCTGCTGCATTTACCACCCAAGCTTCACATCATATCAGAGTGTAGGTACTACAAAACTTTCATACATTCCCTTCTTTGCTCCATAAGATAAACTTTTTATTGACTCCACATATACAACAATGCACCACTCACCTTTTTTTTCCCTCATCATCTATGATAAACCTCACCTTCATAAATCCTAACCGCCGACCTCAAGAAACTCCGAAGTATCTGAAAACATTCACTACTTCCATACTCTACTCCCCAATTTGATTCCAATTTTTCTTAATCTAAATCATTTGATACCCTCTCATCTTACTCTTTTCTATGTTTCAGATTTCAACATTCACCTTTACACACATTCTCAACACAACATCCACTAATACTTTAGCAATTTATTCTTTAGAATCTCCATAATCACAAGTATCATCAGCAAAAGTAACTGTGGTCAATTCCCATTTTGAATTAGTTCCCCATATTTGAACCCCACCCCTCTTCCTGAATCACCCTAGCATTTACATCTTTTACCACATCCCCATCTATAAATATATTAAACAACATGGTGTGACAATTACACAACCCTGTCTAAACCTACTTTTACCGGGAAGTAGGTCACCCTCTCATCTACACACTCCTAACCTGAGCCCACTATCCTCATAAAAAACTCTTAACAGCATTTAGAAACTTACCACCTATTCCAAATTACTTGCAACAACTGCACATGCTTCCTCTATCCACTCTATCATATGCCTTTTTAAATCCATAAATGCAAATAAAAAAAAACTTCCTTCCCTTCTACCTTATCTAAATACTGTTCACATAAATGCATCAATGTAAACACTTCACTACACATCCCCTACCCACTCCTGAAGCCTCCCTCTCATCCGCAATCCTACAATTCTGTCTTACCTATAATTCTTTCAATAATAACCCTACCCTATACTTTTCCTGGTATAAACTCATAAACTTATGCCTCTATAATTTTTACAATCTCTTTTGTTCCCTTTCCCTTTATATAAAGGGACTATAACATGCCTCTGCCAATCCCTAGTACCTTCCCCTCTTTCATACATTATTAAACAAGCAGTACCAACCACTCCAACACTATACCCCCCATGCTTTTAACATTTCCTGTCATGTAGCCCATCAGTCCCCAGCTGCCTTAACCCCCTTTCATTCTAAGTAATGCTCACGTACCTCCCCCACACATACATTCGCTCATTCTTCACTCCTAAAAGATGGTAAACCTACCTCCCTGGACAATGCATGAAATTACCGGCCTCGCCCTTTCTTCCTCAAACATTTAAAAGTACCTCAAAAGTTAATTCTCGCCATCTACCTAATACCTCTCTTTTCACCCATCTACTAATTCCCCTACTCTGTTTTTAACTGACAAATCCATACTGTTTCCCCTAGCTTCTTAACTTGTTTAACTCACTAAGTCCAAATTTATTCTTATTTTCATTAAAATTTCTTGACATGCCTCCCCACTCTATCATCTGCTCCCTTTTTTGCACTCTCTCACCACTCTCTTCACCTTTCTTTTACTCTCCATATACTCTGCTCTCTTATAATAACACTTCTGCTTTGTAAAAAACCTCTCATAAGCTACCTTTTTTCTCCTTTATTTTATCACACCCTTTTACTTCATCATTCCACCAGTCCACTCCTCTTTCATCCTGCCCCCACCCTCCTATAACCACAAACTTCTGTCCCACATTCTAATACGCATTTTTAAAACTATTCCAACCCTCTTCAACCCCCCCACTACTCATCTTTGCACTAGCCCACCTTTCTGCCAATAGTCGCTTATATCTCACCCGAACTTCCTCCTCCCTTAGTTTATACACTTTCACCTCCCTCTTACTTGTTGTTGCCACCTTCCTGTTTTCCCATCTACCTCTTACTCTAACTGTAGCTACAACTAAATAATGATCCGATATATCAGTTGCCCACCATCAGTTGTTCCACCATTGATGAACTACTTGATATCATTGAGGATCCTGCGACGAACCCCACCTACTTGTTTAAACTACACCATTTCTCAAGACCAAAGTTCACCTCTCTCCAATCTGGGACAGTAATTTAACAAGCCTCCCGCCAACCCTTCACTGTCCAGATCATCCTGATGGCTGCCTTCTGGACCTTCCCTGACTCTTCTGCCGCCGCCTTCACCATCCCCTCCTTGAGAGCCAAGTACTGACGTCCTTCATCCCTCCTGTGTATTCATCCCTCCTCATTCAAGCCTGCAGTACATTTGTACCACATGCACCAAAGTGGTTGGACCACTTGCCTTTCTTCTCCTCCTCCCTCCCATCCTTTTCCAGTATTTCCATCCTTCCCCATCCTTCTTCCTTCCCATCTTACGACAGCTCTGGTTGTCTTCCAGATTGAGATGGGCAGGACAGTAGTACCTCCCTGAGTGGTTGCTGTCTATACACAACCTACTACTTGAATCCCTTTACAAAATATTACCCTGCTCACACTCCAACAGCTCATCAGGTCCCAAAAACCATTAGTCTCCATTTACCTCTATCTAGCATGTTCACGCATACATATGCCTTTTATTTTAATTTGCAGTGCCCAGACACAAAAGGAATAATTCTGATTGGAGAAATTGGTGGTGGTGCTGAGGAAGCTGCTGCAGAGTACTTAAAACAACACAATTCTGTAAGTTTTGTTTGCATTGTTTCTCTTCAAAATTTGATCACCCTGAAACCAGAGTGCAGTTTTTTAATTAAATGCTTGAGAAAGATCCTGGAAATCTAATGTTTGTTTCTACCTTTGTTTGTAAACATATTTGCATTGTGCGAAATTTTTTTTATATTTTAGTTGCTGTTTGACAAGTAGACAAACAATAGTCATTAAATACAGTGGTACCTTGACTTACGAGTTTAATTCTTTCCGTGACCTAGCTCGTAACTCAATTTGCTCATACAGTATATCAAATAAATTTTCCTCATTGAACTTAATTGAAATGCCATTAATCTGCTCCTGTGGAATTCTGGATTCGGGGCGGAAACTCTCAGGAGGCAGGAGAAAATAACCTCAAATAATGCTAATATCACATAAGACTTATTTCTATCACAATTATAATATACAAATAAACAATATAAATACATAGAATTGATAAAATAGTCAGAATGAGAAAATTGTCTGGTAGTTTGTTGTAGCCACTTGAGGTTAAGTTTGTTTTTTTTTCTCTTACACTTGGGTGTATTAGTTACACGTACCCATCCTGTGGGCGGTAGTCAAAATTAAGTGATATTGGTCCAAGGATGGACTCAAAGTTTTGATAGCTGAGCAAGTTACAAAGGTAATGACTAGATCTGGTCATAACATGACCAAGTTACAAAGGTAGGAGCTCAGGTTGATGGTACACTCATGAATAATTGCAAAGGTAATGAATCATAAACACATTAAATGAGATTAACAAAGTAATGAGCTCAGGTCATTGTCCCACAATCATTTGACAAGTTCATGGTAATGAATGATAACCATGTTATGACATGATTAAATCATAGCAAATACAGAGTAATGAGCAGTTAACAAACCTATGGAATTCCATGCCCCCATACAATGTTGCTAGGAGCCTGCTGCCTGTAGACAGCCTGGTAAACGCCAAGTTTGAGAGCAGCCTCTGTGCAGAGTACCATCGACCCCCAAGAGGTACAAGAAGCCAGTGATCCTTAGCACCCGATGGAGGTCTCCTAGGGACATGCTCAGCGTCCTGGTGGACACCAAGTTGATTGAAGATCCCAGGCCTCGTGTGCACGGGATGTTGAAGCTTGGGAACTGAGTACACACTGCCTGTGGACTGGGTGGCAGCTGCCTCGCGGTCGAACTCCACGATGCTGTCCCTGTTGTAAGTTCCGTGAGCCCGCACTCCCGCAGTGTCACGCGGGTTAGGGGAGAAGTACACTCTACAGAAGGCTGACCGCAAAATGGGATTGGGTCGGTGAAGGCGGGGCGCGCGGGTGCCGTTATGACGGTCACTTTCTACATACACGTTCCCTCATGCCGCACCCACGGGAGGGGGGGAGCTTGAACTGCCGCACTACCCACCAAACCGCTCTAAAACTGCCAACACTTCAGTAAAAAATTACGCTGACATACTGCATTGTCCGTTTTCGCAGCTCTTATTATATAAGAGTTCATCACCGGTTCTGTTAATAGGGCCTGGTAACCTTTGACCAGAGCTATCCTTTGAAAATCCGCATGCTAGCCGCTTACAAACTGCCGCTCCTCGCATGCCACAGCTGTGCTTGGTTAAAATATTATCGCTCTGGACCATATTCAAACATTTTGCCCTTTGAGGTCTATTATAAAGAAGAAATGGAGTATTTGTGAGGCTGACTACACTGAATCACTAGTTTCATAAGGAAAACACTGAAACAGAAGTGATTTTTTCATGTTTTTCTATGATTTTATGCTTTAATTCAATGGACATCATCATCCTCCTCTTCTCAGCACTGTCTTTGCACTTATAGTACTTTCTTAGGACCCATGGTTAGAAAAAACAAATTTGGCATAATAACTGCACAGAAAGCACAAAACGCTGGGATGCTAGGCGGATGTTGTGGCGTTCGCTGTGCCAACTAGTGGCGGCATATCTGAAACTCGCTCATAACTTGGATTTTGGCTCTCGGCTCAAAGCAAAAAATTGACCAAGCAACTGCTCGTAACTCGGAAAACTCATAAGTTGGGGCACTCGTAAGTCAAGGTACCACTGTATGTATATGATGCAAGTGATATGGCTGTATTAAATATTAGTTTGGAGATTCCAATTATTTCTTCATTGTTAAGACTGATGCCATGTTGGTTTTCTGGCTATAACATTGCTTTGTATTGGGCATTATTTCTAGTATTTACAGTTCATAGTCTCACACCTTAAATAAAATCACTAACTAATCCTTAACTGGATCTTTCACTTTAAATTTTGTTTTGTACTATATATATATATAAAACATTACACATACAACCTGCATGTAGGTGACTGGAACTTATGACAGTTTCAGTCTGACTTGTACCATTAATTAGTCACACAGAGAAGCACAAAGACAAGGGAGCCAGAATATATACGAGGGAGGTGAGGGATGGGTGTGGTAGAACTGGAGGAGGAAGTAGTAATAATGTAATACACCTACCATCCGACTTACGACCGAGTTTGGTTCCGAGAAACCGGTCGTGAGTCAAAATGGACGTAAGTCGAACTTTACTACTGAATATCAACATAACATTTTTGTAATGACTTTATTTTATTGTTTTATTTTGGTATTTCATGTTTTACTTTACTTTTTATGCTGTTAGTACTGTATTTTATACTGTAAGGTTTAGGATAAACACTGTGTACAACACAAACACTTGTTTATTTCCCAGAAATTTGGCATAAAAAACACAGTCGTAAGTCGAGTCATCGTATGTCGAGCAGGTCGTAAGTCAGATGGTAGGTGTATTAGTAGTGCAGCAGTGTTAAAAGTGTCAGTAAGTACATTGTAGTGGTGGTGAAAAAGGAGGCACAGAGTGGAGTGTTAGCGAGGGAACAGTAATAATAATGGAGGTAGCCTAAGGAACATTAGAACAGAGGAACTCTGCAGGAGAGCTAATGCCCCACGAGGGTATGACAAAATCCCTGCGGGACAAAATCCACCTAGGCAGGAGACAGGAAAGGCAATGAGAATATAAGAAAGGTGAATGGATAAGGAGAGGAGGGGTTAAAGATCAGGTCAAGTCACAAGTATTCTGTAGTAGCTTGGACTGAAATGTCATAAGTTTCATTGTAGAATTATACACACTCGTGTGTGTAATTTTATGATGATTGTACATACTAGTACTTAACAATGAGAAAGTATAAACACTAAACAATGCAGTGAGGCTGACAGTAAGAAAAGTATTGTATGCAGTGAATGTCAGGTGCTGTTCTGTCTTCCTCTCTTAGGTTTTTTAGAATACTTGCTGTTGTCACTGGCTTCAGCTTCCAAGAAAAATGTGTGATGTAGCAATATCAGTCTTCAACACTAGTTATGGCTTAAATTAATGATTTTTCTTATTAACCCTTAAATTTCCAAGAGTCTTAAAATAAAAGTGCTTCCAGTACCAGCAGTTTTGAAAAAAAAAAATTTCAAAACAACAAAAAAAAAAAAAATTCTTAGAATTTAGAAGTGTAGTGAGAGGGACATCCGAGTAGTACTTATGTAGATTTGAAAGTGACAGTGATCATATTATGACAACATATGTGCTTGTTGCATGAAGGAAATTGCTGTTTTAAATTTGTTTACAATTATTTTATATTTATGCTTTATGGTTCATATATTTTATGCCTATCTATGTTTTCATATATCACAATCATTTTGGAGGCACTAGAATTTATGCATAAATATATTTTTCCTGGTTGGTGTAAATATACATAATTGGCAGTTAAGGGTTAATAAAAATTCAATACTACTACACATCTGAATTACTTGTCCAACTTTCATTTATGATGAGGAGAGGTGCATATCCTAATTGCATGTTCTCAAGTAACCTTCAATACCTCCACCATTATTATTTATTATATTATTAATTCTTTATTTTATTTATCTTTGGCATGTATTTGATATAGGTATGGTGGTTTCATAGTGATATAATTTAGTAAAAAAATGTGGATTTGGGAATGTAGCACTGTTTTTTTCCATATTCATTACATTTTAAAAAAAAATATTAATATTTCATAGTTTCAGGAATATGACACCTGTGTTAAAGTTGTACTGTAGTTCCAAGTGATAAAATACAAAACAGCTATTCTAAATATTTGCTTTAAAAATAAGCACAGTGGCTCTGGTATTAAGTAACTGACATGTTTGTAAGCACTTGTAGCTTTCCCAGCAAATCACACCCAAAGTGTCAACTGCATGTAGTTACCATGGATTCAGGTATTAGAATATGCTTTGTTGATTTTATATTGCAACATTTTGTGCATTTATGAGTAATCATGTAATTAATTTCTGCAGGAAGTCAAACATGCAGATTTTAAGAGTGTAGGCAAGAGAATTGATGTAGTTAGAAGAAAAAGGATATCAAGCCATAAAGAAAGGGTAGTACCATGTACAGTAATTACTGTATATTCCATGAATAACACAGCTTACAAGCTACTAAAATTTAAACAGTGAAAAGGTTGTCACATTGATGATATGTTAGGGTAAAGCACTCAAACTTTTATTTCATGTACCCAGAAATGTAATACACATTGTTGCCCTCTCTCCCTCAGTTATTGCTCGCTATCTATAAACTTTCTGCATGTTTTCAACAGAAAAATATTTGGCATTTTAGAGTGCCAGTATTCAATGTGTGTTGTGCTCTTATACATGTAGTACAATAATTAATTGTCTTTAAGGGACCAGATGCCAAACCAGTAGTGTCATTCATTGCTGGGTTAACAGCACCCCCTGGTCGTCGCATGGGACATGCTGGTGCCATCATTTCTGGTGGGAAGGGTGGAGCCATTGATAAGATTAAAGCCCTGGAATGTGTAAGTTGAAAAGCTTTTGTTGTTACACTTCAAAATGCTGTTCTCACTACGTTATCATTTTTATGGTTTAGCTAGTTTTTGCCCAAGTTGTTCTTTAGTCCTTATAAACACTATGTTTTGGATACAAATAAAACATTTCTGCTACTTTATGTCCAATTTCAAGTTACTTTTGGTCCTGAAACTAACCAAAATAATCTCTTTCAGTAGTATGTTTCCCATTCTATCAATGATACCAAGAAATGCCCAATAAGACCATAAAACCGTCATTAAAAATGCCTGTTACTTTTTTGAACCAGACACAAGGTCAGAGTTTTGCTTTTCCCATCATGCACTGTGGGGGGCAGGATTTTTTTTATACTGTGCACACTCAGAGCACAGACTCATTCTCTCATATCTAGGTCAAAATTTACTGCTTACAGCTTATTGGAGTGAGTTGAGCTCATAATGTTGAAATACGTGAGGGACCCTGGCTTCAGTCATGTACGCAGTTGTACATGATGTCCACTGCCAGGGTTAATGTACACAACCCCATACCTTTCCTAAAGCCTCCTTATTCATCTGCAATCCTGCTCTCCGTCTTACTCTTAATTCTTTCAATAATAACTCTACCATACACTTTACCAGGTATACTCGACAGGCTTCTTCTTTCAACAAACTGGCTGTATCCCACTGAAGCAGGGTGGCCCATAAAGAAAAACAAAGGTTTATCTTTTTAACTTTAGTAAGGTATACAGGAGAAGGGGTTACTAGCCCCTTGCTCCTGGCATTTTAGTCACCTCTTACGACACACATGGCTTACAGAGGAAGAATTCTGTTCCATTTCCCCATGGAGATAAGAGGAAATAAACAAGAACTAGTAAGAAAATAGAAGAAAACCAAGAGGGGTGTGTGTATATATATGCTTGTATATATGCATGTGTGGTGTGACCTAAGTGTAAGGAGAAGTAGCAAGATGTACCTGAAATCTTGCATGTTTATAAGACAGAAAAAAAAGACACCAGCAATCCTACCATCATGTAAAACAATTACAGGCTTTTGTTGTACACTCACTTGGCAGGATGGTAGTACCTCCCTGGGCGGTTGCTGTCGACCAACTTACTACTACCTAGCACTCAACAGGTTTATTCCCCTATAATTTTTATTCTCTCTCTCTCTCTCTTGTCCCCTTTGCCTTTATACAAAGGAACTATGCATGCTCTCTGCCAATCCCTAGGTACCTTACCCCTTTTCCATACATTTATTAAATAAAAGCACCAACCACTCCAAAACTATATCCCTACCTGCTTTTAACATTTCTGTCTATTCCATCAATCCCAGCTGCTTTACCTCTTTCATTCTACCCGCTGCCTCATGCATCTCTCCCACACTCACAACTGCTTTTCCTCACTCCTCCAAGATGTTATACCTCCTTGCCCAATTCATGAAATCATAGCTTTCCTCTCTTCAACATTTAACAGTGTCTCAAAATATTCTCTCCATCTTTCCTATACCTCTAACTCTCCATCTAATAACTCTCCTCACCTATTTTAAACTGTCAAATCCACTCATTCCCTAGGCTTTTTATAACTTATTAATCTCGCTTCAAAACTTTTTTATTCTCAACAGAATTTGTTGATAGCACAAACTTCTGCTTGAACACACTAACACTACATTCTTGAATCTACCCCATGCCTCTTCAACCTCATTGCCTATACTCTTACTAGCCCATTGGTCTTGGGACTCGAAGGATATCAAGGGTGCAAAATAAATGGAAAAAATGTCTATCAAGTAATATAGCATATTTTCTTTATCTTATTACAGGCTGGTGTTGTTGTATCCAGGAGTCCTGCACAAATGGGTAACATGTTGTTAGAAGAAATGAAACGGTTAGGGTTGACTGCATAAGGCGTAAGTGCTGACGTGGCTCATTGACTTGACGTGTTCTCATTAATATGTCTTAATAAATTCTTGAAAAGTTGAGAAATAATTATTTAGAGGTTATTGTTTCATGCTCGTGTTCTTGATTCTTGCAGTCAAGAATTAGCGACTACATGTAAAAATGGCTACTTTTCTTATCAAGACTGTGTCCAATAGTTGGACTTTTTGCTTGGGTTTGTCATAAATTTAGAACCAGTGACTATAATAAATTGTGTAACTGTACTGTTGAATGTTTGCCTGTTAAGCTGGAAAAATACATGGTTAATATTATTTCTGTAACTTATTACAGTGCACTACATATAGGTATAACTAAATGCTAATCCAGAGATTTTTTAATTAAAAACTATATGAGGTATCTTTTCTTGTAAAATCCTTTTAAATTTATTTAAATTTTGCTAGAAATCTCAAATTCTGTAAAAATCATTATTCATCTTTATTACTCATGTTTATTGTGTACATGTTGCTACCTAATATAAAAGTGTAAATACTGTATGTCTAAAGGTTTTTATTGGAAAATGTACTTTATTCTGTTTTAAATAGTTTTAAGAAATAAAGTACATGTTCTTATGATGATTTTTTACTAATCAAAATACTCAGGTTGAATTGCTCTTGATTCTGCTTCTATTACTGATATGAAAAACCATTTCTTAACATACAGTATCATTGCTTATTTTACTTGTTAAATTCCTTAATTTTTTTTATTCATCATTTCTGTGCTAATCCATATTTTCACAGGGTAGGGTTCTTTTTAATAACATGCTCCAATGTAGTAAAATTTTCTTAAATTGTAAAATCTAAACTAGTTGAATTTGGTGTACAGAGTTCAAAATATTTTAATTCTTGCACCCTTCTAGGGAGGTGCCTTAATGCCAGTGAAGGGCTCTTTTTTCAAAGAATTGAAATACCCTTCCTTTTCTTGGATCAAATCTGATTGCTTTGCATTCCCAAGGCACTTTGATCCCCATGAAATTGCAAAAAAATACATCTCTTGGGCAGTTGCCTTTTCTTCATGGAAGAATTACTTGCTTTAATGCCTTAGTTCTACTGGCAAAAATTACTCATGTCTGGGAAGAAATTGCTTAGAATACTTTAAAGGTTGCTCCCAGCCTGGTTGATCAGACTGATCCACTGCGAGGCCTGGTCATGGACTGGGCCGCGGGAGTGTTGACCCCCGAAACACTCTCCAGGTATGTATTTGCAGTATACAAAAATGCATATACTGTACAGGGTACTCCACTTCTTTTCTTTGAGTAGAAGTTGGAGTGTGAGCATAACTTTTATGAAGGGAAACTGGTTAGTCAGGCTGAAGTCCTGGAAGTGAACAGAGCAGTGCCTGCACTCTGAAGGAGGGGTGGTTGTTGTAGTCAGAGGGTAATTGAATTTCTGGAAAGTGGGCAATTAAATAAACAGTGATGAATGCATTTTCTTGTTTGGATCACACTGCCTTGGCAGGAGACAGCCAGCGAGGCTTAAAAAAAAATGCATACCCAGGAAAAGACTTGCCTCAATGAGATCACACTTTATCTTAAGAAGCAACATGATAGCTTATCATCAACTGTTCTCTGTATGTAACAAATGCCTTGATATGCAGTTACTGTACTATTGGACATTTGAGTCATATCCTGTTTTAGATTATGAAAATATTTGCTTTTTTAAAAGCACTTAATAATGGTATCAGCGTATAATAATGATGGTATTATAATCGAAATACAGAACAGTTACTAATTAGCAAAAAATGAAGCTATTCAAGTAATTTCTATGCTTGCTGAATTCCTGTGCAGGGTCTGTCAAGCTCATACAGTTGCTGTATGACCCTTAAGGGTTTAGCACTACCCATAATGTGAAATTCACAGTAATATTTTCATTAATTACAAATTTAAATGACATCTAGGGTAAAAATACTTGACAGCTGTATTAAAAAGAAAAAATTATTTTACTTTTTTGTGGCATAATACACATCAATCATGTGTATTATGAAACTGGACACTATAATAGATAAATGTACTCACATGCAACTTGCAAAATGTTGTAATAATTACTATGTTAAGTAAAAGTACACAAGTAATGTCACTAGTTGCACATGCATCCTTTTACTTACCCCAACGCACTAAAGTTGCATATGTTATCTGTGGAGACAAAAAAAAGAAAAATGAAATCCATGGAGGCAAAGAAGGGAATGTATGAGAGTATAGTGGTACCAACACTCTTACATGGGTGTGAAACTTGGGTTGTAAATGCTGCAGCGAGGAGGCAGCTGGAGGCAGTGGAGATGTGTCTAAGGGCAATAAATGGTGTAAATATTATGCAGAGAATTCGTAGTGTGGAAATTAGGTGGTGGTGTTGAGTTATTAAAAGTATGTCAGAGGGCTGAGGAGGGGTTGTTGAGGTGGTTTGGTAATTTAGAGAGGATGGAGCAAAATAGGATAGCTTGGAAAGGATGAAGGGGGTAAAAGAAGTTTTGTGTGCAAGAGGCTTGGACATGTAGCAAGCATGTGTATCTTATATAGGAGTGGAGACAAATGGTTTTTGGGACCTGACAAGCTGTTGGAGTGTGAACAGGGTAATATTTTGTGGAGGGATTTGGGAATCCAGTTACCCGGACTTGAGTCCTGGAGGTGGGAAGTACAATGCCTGAACTTTAAAGGAGGGGGTTTGAGATATTTGCTTTTTGGAGTGACATCTGAACTGTTATATCTGCATGCCTCTGCAAATGACAGTGATTATGTGTGAATGGTGAAAGTGTTTCTTTTTTGGGTCACCCTGTCCTCAGTGGGAGATGGCTGGCATGTTGACAAAAAAAAAAAAAAAATCTCAAATTAATGAGATTTTCTTCAAGAAAGTCAGGAAGAGAACCTCATTTAGTTGCAAATGTTAATAGGATACATGCAACTAATAAGAAAGCCCATGTGTCCTTTTACTTAACATACTGTAGGCAATTCTTAACATCATTACAAGTTGCAACTTGCAATAATGTTGGGGATGAAATACCTTGATGCTGGTGAAGGGCTCTGTCCAAAAAATTAAGCTACTCTCATCTTTCTTGGAACAAACCTGCCCCTTTGAGGGAAATTCCTTGATGCCAGTGATGGATTCTTGATAAAAGGATGTGGGCCTATTCTTCCCTTTGTTAGAACTCGATTGCCTTCCATTTCCCCATTTGCTTTATGACCTCTTTTCCATTGATTAATTACTATATTAAAATAGATGACCACCGATTCCCATGGGGTATTGTGATTACTACTGGTTTAGTGCTTCCATGTCTTTATAATTAAGTTGCAGTGCTGTATAACCCTTGTGGGTTTAGCACTTAGTTTTGATAAAGTTGCTGGAAACTTTAAGAGAGAGTGAGCTATGTCTCTGCCAAATCTAGTCGCCACCCCCCATCCATTGTATATCAACGCATGCAAGAAGTCCAGTAGCTGTACTATGGAGTGGGTTTCATGCTTAGTTTTGAATATAATGTACAGTGGAACCTCAGTTTTCGTCACTAATTCGTTCCAGAAAGTCTGACGAAAACCAAATTCAACGAAAACTGAAGCAATATTTCCCACAAGAAAACGTAAATCCAATTAATGTTCCAGACACCCAAAAATATTAACAAAAAACACATTTATAGAGAATAACTATAGTTTTACATACAGAAAATAATGAGAAATAAATATTAAGAACCAATGAAATGGGTAAATGAACATTTAATATCACTTTTACCTTTATTGAAGAGACCTGTTGGCGTATGGAAGACATGAGGGAGAGGGAGGAGAAGTTATTGGTTGGAAGGGAAATCCCCCTCCATAAGGACTTCAGGTATCGAGTTCGTATCCTGGGACATTCTCCCCTCTCTCTTCCTCCTCTGAAGCAATTTCCTCAGCTGTGGTCTGTTGCTGTTCCAGTTGAAGGTGTTGCAGGTCTTCAGTGGTTAGCTCTTACACATCCTGGCCACTCACATCCAACCCCGTACTTTGCTAGTTCTTTCTTGAACTCTATTGTGTTTCTCACCTTCTTTATGAAAGGGCTGGCACTTGGAACCTTCTTTGGCCCCATGGTGGCTTATTTAGCAGTTGCACTCAGCAAGCACAAAAAACAATGGATTATGAAATTTTTCGGATGAACACTCAGTGTAATGCTCACTCAATGAGAAACAAAGCCAGATTGACTCAGAACACATGGGATGCTTTGTGTGGGCATGGGCAGGTGGACACACTTGGTACGACGGACCAACGAAAAACCAAGGTGATGAACGAAAACTGGGACAAAATTTTGACGAAAAAAGTCGTCAAAAACCGAATTCAACGAAAACCAGGGCAAATAAAAATCGAGGTCCCGCTGTACTATGGAACCCTCAAGCACAGTAGCTGCTGCTCAAGAGACATAGGGAAGGACTGAGTTATAACTCCTAAAAGTGAGGTGCTTCACTGCCAGTGAAGAATTTTTGACTCAAAGTGTACCACTACTCCTCTTGGATTGAATTTGACTTGTGTACTGAATGACCCATAGGGTTTAGACCTTCACCTGATAACTCAATCCTCCCAAGCCCCTCAAGGTTAATGTCTTGATGTCATTGAGGCAAGTTGGGTGGGAGCTTGGTCTCGTCTAGCTGACCTATGGTTGTGAAGGGAATAGAGCACGCAGAATTTACCTCCAACATCTTTACCATCATAAATTACGATAATATTTCCCCTTGTGACTGCCATCTTTGGATACAGACCTTTTACAGCAAAGTTATTAATGTAACTTATATTACCCTGGCTTATGTCGTTTTGATTGTAATAATGAATTTAATTAGTATTCCATTTAGCAGCTCTGACTTCATAACTACAACTCGTGTTGATCTAATCATTGTAATTTCAAATCAAGGAATTAAGCAGTTCACGATCCAAACCTCAGCCTGTAGACCTGGTTATGATTATAATAATTGTGAGGATTCAGGGAAACTGGTAGTCGACATGACACTGGAGGTGAGAAGTGCCTGCACTTTAAAGAAGTTTGCAATATTTGCTCTTTTGTGACATCTAAACTGTTGGATCTATGCACCTCTGGAGTGATAATGTGATGATGTTTCTATTTCAGGTCACCCTGCCTTGTGGGAGATGGCCATCATTCAACACTTTCACCATCACTCACACATAATCACTGTCTTTGCAGAGGCGCTCAGATACGACAGTTTAGACATCCCTCCAAACTGCCAATATCCTAAACCCCTTCTTTAAAGTGCAGGCATTGTACTTCCCATTTCCAGGACTCAAGTCTGGCTAACTGGTTTCCCTGAATCCCTTCACAAAATATTATCCTGCTCACACTCCAACAGCTGTCAGGTCCCAAAAACCATTCGTCTCCATCCACTCCTATCTAACACGCTCACGCATGCTTGCTAGAAGTCCAAGCCCCTTGCCCATATAACTTCCTTTACCCCCTCCCTCCAACCTTTTTTGGGATGACCCCTACTCCACCTTCCTTTCCCTACAGATTTATACACCTTCCAACTGTGACCCTTGTTTCTGTGTCCCATCTCTGGAACATCCTGTCACTGTCCACCTTATCTATTCCACGCAGTATTTTGTATGTCGTTATCATGTCTCCCCTAACCCTCCTGTCCTCCAGTGTCGTCAGGCCGATTCCTTCAACCTTTCTTCGTAGGACATTCCCCTTAGCTCTGGAACTATCCTTGTTGCAAACCTTTGCACTGTCTCTAATTTCTTGACGTGCTTTACCAAGCGTGTTTACCTGTGGGTTACAAATTGGTGCTGCATACTCCAGTATGGGGCTGACGTACACGGTGTACAGTGTCTTGAACAATTCCTTACTGAGGTATCAGAATGCTATTCTCAGGTTTGCCAGGCGCCCATAGCTGCAGCAGTTATCTAGTTGATGTGTGCTTCTGGAGACGTGCTTGGTATAATACTCACCCCAAGATCTTTCTCCTTGAGCGAGGTCTGCGGTCTTCTTTGCCCTTCCCTGATCTTCATGACTTTGCATTTGGCGGGATTAAAGTCAAAGAGCCAGTTGCTGGACCACACGTCCAGCCTGTCCAGGTCTCTTTGTAGTCCTGCCTGATCCTCGTCTGATTTAATTCTCATTAACTTATCTGCGAACAGGGACACTTCTGAGTCTATCTCTTCCATCATGTCATTCACATATACCAAAAATAGCACTGGTCCTAGGACTGACCCCTGTGGGACCCCGCTTGTCACAGGCGCCAACTGTGATACCTCATTACGTACCATGACTCGTTGCCTCCCTGTCAAGTATTCTCTGATCCATTGCAGTGCCCTTTCTGTTATATGTGCCTGATACTCTAGCTTCTGCATTATCTCCTGTGGGGAACTGTGTCGAAGGCCTTCTTGCAGTCCAAGAAAATGCAGTCAACCCACCCCTCTCTCTCTCTCTCTCTCTCTCTTCGTGTCTTCTGTTACTTTGTTATAAAACTCCATTTTTGCCTTCCATAAATCCTTGCTGGTTGTCGTTTATAATCTTGTTCCGTTCAAGGTGCTCCACCACTCTCCTGATAATCTTCTCCATGACTTTGCATACTATACACGTCAGTGTATAGTGTGTGTGTGTGTATATATGTGTACTCAATTGTGGTTGCAGGGGTTGATTCATAGCTCTTGGCCCCGTGTGTGTGTGTGTGTGTGTGTGTGTGTGTGTGTGTGTGTGTGTGTGTGGTGTGTGGTGTGGGGTGTGTGTGTGTTGTGTGTGTATCTAGTTGTGGTTAGAGGTGTGTAGTGTGTGTGTACTCACCTAATTGTACTCGCATAATTGTGGTTGCAGGGGTCGAGACCCAGCTCCTGGCCCTGCCTCTTCACCGACCGCTACTAGGTTCTCTCTCCCCCTGCTCCATGAGCTTTATCATACCTCGTCTTAAAACCATGTATAGTTCCTGCCTCCACTACATCGCTTGCCAGACTATTCCACTTCCTAACTACTCTATGACTGAAGAAATACTTCCTAACATCGTGTGTGTGTGTTAATGCGATTACAAATATGCAAAACTACCACAAAGCATATAGGAAATAATACCTGAGGGATATCATGTGCTTACACACAATCTTCAGAGGAATGTGCGTGTTTAACACACACACACACACACACACACACACACACACATCACTATATATACATATATACATACACACAATATATATATATATATATATATATATATATATATATATATATATATATATATATATATATATATATAATGCAACCAATTTGCATATTGTGATATCACAATATGCAAAACAACCACTATGAAAAAGTAGTGAATATTCAAGTTGTTTCGTGAATTCTCACACTATCAAGGATGTCCTTGAAAAATGTGAGAAATCGCAAAAGCACTTTTGGATGTTCACTATTTTTTCACAGCGTTTGTTTTGTGTTTGTGTGTACTCACCCAGTTTTGGTTGCAGGGCTCGAGTTTCAGCTCCTGGCCCCGATGTGTGTGTGTGCGTGTTCACCTAATTGCTTACCTAATTATGTCCCCTTTATCCCTCCTGTCCTCTAGTGTCGTCAGATTGATTTCCCTTAACCTTTCCTGGCAGGACAAGCCCCTTAGCTCTGGGACTAGTCTTGTTGCAAACCTTAGCAGTTACTCTAATTTCTTGACGTGCTTGTATACTCCAACCCCTCAAGGAAGGTTCCTTGATGTTGGTGAGGGGCTCTTGATTTAGGGAATTGGATCTGTGCTCCAGTTCCCCGAATTAAGCCTGAATGCCTTCCACATCCCCCCCAGGCGCTGTATAATCCTCCGGGTTTAGCGCTTCCCCTTGATTATAATAATAATAATAATGTATACTCCAACATGGGCTTGCAGCGCTGTATAGTCCTTGTGGCTTAGCGCTTCTTTTTTGATTATAATAATAATAATCCAACATGGGCTTGACGTTCTCGGTATACAGTCTTGAATGATTTCCTTATTGAGGTGTTGGAACGCTATTCTTAGGTTTGTCAGGCGCTAATATGCTGCAGCAGTTATTTGGTTGATGTGCGCCTCAGTAGATGTGCTCGGTACTATACTCATCTCAATATCCTTTTGAGTGAGGTTTGCAGTTTTTGGCCCTCTAACCTGTACTCTTTCTGCGGTATTTGCCCTTCCATAATCTTCATGACTGCACTTGCCGGGGTTAAACTCCAGGATCCAGTTACTCGAATAGGCTTGCAACCTGTCTTTTTGTAGTCCTGCCTGATCCTCATCCAATTGAATTCTCATTAGCTTCACATCGTCTACAAACAGGGACACTTGTGAGTCTACTTTCATTCATGTCAGTCACATATACCAGAAACAGCACCTCGCGAGTGTGTGTGTGTGTGTACTCACCTATTTGTGGTTGCAGGGGTCGATACAGCTCCTGGCCCCGCCTCTTCACTGACCTATACTAGGTCCTCTCTCTCCCTGCTCCATGAGCTTTATCATACCTCGTCTTAAAACTATGTATGGCTCCCGCCTCCACTGTATCACTTGCCTTCACATGTGTGTGAGTACTCACCTAGTTGTGGTTGCAGGGGTCACGTCATAGTTCCTGGCCCCGCCTCTTCACTGTGTGTGTGTGTGTGTGTGTGTGTGTGTGTGTGTGTTATAACCTTTGGATCCCTCGTACTAGCAGTAGTAATTTGTTAGTAGTAGGTTGGTAGACAGCAACCACCCAGGGAGGTACTACCGTCCTGCCAAGTGGTGTGAAAAGGAAACCTGTAATTGTTTTACATGATGGTAGGATTGTTGTTGTCTTTTTTCCTGTCTCATAAACATACAAGATTTCAGGTACGTCTTGCTACTTCTACTTACACTTAGAGACAGGCGCTCCCTTTACAGGCGACGGAAAAGAATAACAGAGCGGCTAAAAGAGGTCAATATATCTGAAATGCATAGGGAGTCACTGGTCAGAGAAATAGCAAGCATCGAACTTAAGCTAAAGGAATCTTATAGGAGTCAGGAATCGCGGGAAGAACTAAAAGCCATAAATGAAATCGAAAGAAACCCAAAGTATTTCTTCTCCTATGCCAAATCAAAGTCGAGAACAACGTCCAGTATTGGGCCCCTACTTAAACAAGATGGGTCCTACACAGATGACAGCAAGGAAATGAGTGAGCTACTCAAGTCCCAATATGACTCAGTTTTTAGCAAGCCGCTAACCAGACTGAGAGTCGAAGATCAAAATGAATTTTTTTATGAGAGCCACAAAATTTGGTTAACACAAGCCTATCCGATGTTATCCTGACGCCAAATGACTTCGAACAGGCGATAAGTGACATGCCCATGCACTCTGCCCCAGGGCCAGACTCATGGAACTCCGTGTTCATCAAGAACTGCAAGAAGCCCTTATCACGAGTCTTTTCCATCCTATGGAGAGGGAGCATGGACACGGGGGTCGTCCCACAGTTACTAAAAACAACAGACAGCCCCACTCCACAAAGGGGGCAGTAAAGCAACAGCAAAGAACTACAGACCGATAGCACTAACATCCCATATTATAAAAATATTTGAAAGGGTCCTAAGAAGCAAGATCACCACCCATCTAGAAACCCATCAGTTACACAACCCAGGGCAACATGGGTTTAGAACAGGTCGCTCCTGTCTGTCTCAACTATTGGATCACTACGACAAGGTCCTAGATGCACTAGAAGACAAAAAGAATGCAGATGTAATATATACAGACTTTGCAAAAGCCTTCGACAAGTGTGACCATGGCGTAATAGCGCACAAAATGCGCGGTCGATGGATCTATAATTTCCTCACTAATAGAACACAGAGAGTAGTAGTCAACAGAGTAAAGTCTGAGGCAGCTACGGTGAAAAGCTCTGTTCCACAAGGCACAGTACTCGCTCCCATCTTGTTCTTCATCCTCATATCCGACATAGACAAGGATGTCAGCTACAGCACCGTGTCTTACTTTGCAGATGACACCCGAATCTGCATGACAGTGTCTTCCATTGCAGACACTGCAAGGCTCCAGGCGGACATCAATCAAATCTTTCAGTGGGCTGCAGAAAACAATATGAAGTTCAACGATGAGAAATTTCAATTACTCAGATATGGTAAACACGAGGAAATTAAATCCTCATCAGAGTACAAAACAAATTCTGGCCACAAAATAGAGCGAAACACCAACGTCAAAGACCTGGGAGTGATTATGTCGGAGGATCTCACCTTCAAGGACCATAACATTGTATCAATCGCATCTGCTAGAAAAATGACAGGATGGATAATGAGAACCTTCAAAACTAGGGAGGCCAAGCCCATGATGACACTCTTCAGGTCACTTGTTCTATCTAGGCTGGAATATTGCTGCACACTAACAGCACCTTTCAAGGCAGGTGAAATTGCTGACCTAGAAAATGTACAGAGAACCTTCACGGCGCGCTTAACGGAGATAAAACACCTCAATTACTGGGAGCGCTTGAGGTTCCTGAACCTGTATTCCCTGGAACGCAGGCGGGAGAGATACATGATTATATACACCTGGAAAATCCTAGAGGGACTAGTACCGAACTTGCACACGAAAATCACTCACTACGAAAGCAAGACTTGGCAGACGATGCAACATCCCCCCCAATGAAAAGCAGGGGTGTCACTAGCACGTTAAGAGACCATACAATAAGTGTCAGGGGCCCGAGACTGTTCAACTGCCTCCCAGCATACATAAGGGGGATTACCAACAGACCCCTGGCAGTCTTCAAGCTGGCACTGGACAAGCACCTAAAGTCAGTTCCTGACCAGCCGGGCTGTGGCTCGTACGTTGGTTTGCGTGCAGCCAGCAGCAACAGCCTGGTTGATCAGGCTCTGATCCACCAGGAGGCCTGGTCACAGACCGGGCCGCGGGGGCGTTGACCCCCGGAACTCTCTCCAGGTAAACACTGAATATGCATGTGTGTGTGTGTATATATGTCTACCCGTCTGGGTTTTTTCTATTTTCTTACTGGTTCTAGTTTATTTCCTCTTATCCTCATGGGGATGTGGAACAGAATTCTTCCTCCGTAAGCCATGTGTGTTGTAAGAGGCGACTAACATGCCGGGAGCAAGGTGTTAGTAACCCCTTCTCCTGTATACATTACTACATTTAAAAAGAGAAACTTGTTTTTTGGGTCACCTTACCTCGGTGGGATACGGCCGGTTTGTTGATATATTTATATATATATATATATATATATTATTATTTATTATTATTATTATATATAATTATTATTAATAAGACTCATACAGGTGATAGGCTTTAAACCTAACAAAGTAAGCATAAAAGTAAGGTTGAGGGCAGCAGCTGATTATCATGGAAGTGGGGTTGTGGGCATGTTACTCTTGTATCAATCTTATCTTTACTTATCAGCAGATAACAGAGTATATACTTCTTACCGTTTGAAACGCTCATAAGTCATGCGTAAGCTCAACCCGCTACTACATTTCTTGCCTATCATACACATCAAATTTATATTGCTAGTTTAATAGATCGAGGGGATTTGTGAATCAGCAAGTTGAGGCATGGGAGTGAGGATACTGCTGGTGGTACTGGTGGTACTGGTGGCAGTGGGAGGCAGGAAGACTGACACAGCAGCCCTGACCATCACCAGGGACAATGCCTACACAGGGTTGATAGTGGCCATCAGGGAGGATCTCGACTCCAGTAAATGTGATGTCTACGTGCAGAGTATCCAGGTGAGTTACGGTGTCTTGGGGCGTCTTACAATATATCCCATATTATATTACCCCTCCCCCCCAGTCTGTTATTAATCTGTGATAGGGGAATATAAACCCGAACCTAATGTAAAGGTGAGGGTACTTTTGAATGTGTGGCAGTAGACTATGTATAAGGCAGTGGTGGCTAAAGTATGTGGCAGGGGTTTACCTGGAGAGGGTTTCGTTGATGTGGCAGGGGTGCTGATGTGGCAGGGGTGCTGATGTGGCAGGGGTGTTTATGTGGCAAGGGTGCTGACGTATGTGGCAGAGGTTCTGACTGTGTGGCATGAGTGCTGATTCTGGCAGGAGAGCTGATTTATGTAGCAGGGGTGCTGTGTGGCAGGCGTTCTGAATGTGTGGCAGGAGTGCTAATTGTGTGGTAGGGTGTTGATTGTGTGGCAGGGGTACTGATGTATGAGGCAGGGGTACTGATGTATGTGACAGGGGTACTGATGTATGTGGCAGGGGTGCTGATGAATGTGGCATAGGTTCTGATTGTGTGGCACAAATGCTGATTCTGGCAGGAGTGCTGATTTATGTGGCAGGGGTTCTGTGGGCAGGAGTGCTGATTGTGTGGCAGGGGTGCTGTGTGGCGGGCGATCTGTGTGGCAGGAGTGCTGATTGTGTGGCAGGGGTGCTGATTGTGTGGCAGGGGTGCTGATTGTGTGGTAGGGGTGCTGATGTATGTGGCAGGGTTACTGATGTATGTGGCAGGGGTGCTGATGAATGTGGCATAGGTTTTGATTGTGTGGCGCAAATGCTGATTCTGACAGGAGTGCTGATTTATGTGGCAGGGGTGCTGTGTGGCAGGCGTTGTGTGGCAGGAGTGCTGATTGTGTGACAGGGATGCTGATGTATGTGGCAGGAGTGCAGATGTATGTGGCAGGGGTGCTGATGTATGTGGCAGGGAGGCTGATTGTGTGGCAGGGGTGTTGTGAGGCAATTGTGTTGTGTGTGGAATGGGTGCTGATTGTGTGGCAGGAGTTCTGATTGTGTGGCAGGGGTGTTGATGCATGTGGCAGGGGTGCTGATACATTTGGCAGTGTTGATTGTGTGGCAGGGGTTCTGTTTGGCAGGAGTGCTGATTTGTGCAGTGCTGATGAATGTGGCAGGGGTGCTGAGTGTATGTGGCAGGGGTGCTGAGGTATGTGGCAGGGGTGCTGAGGTATGTGGCAAGGGTGCTGATGTATGTGGTAGGGGTGCTGATGAATGTGGCATAGGTTCTGATTGTGTGGCACGAATGCTGATTCTGGCAGGAGTGCTGATTTATGTGGCAGGGGTGTTGTGTGGCAGGAGTGCTGATTGTGTGGCAGGGGTGCTGATTGTGTGACAGGGATGCTGATGTATGTGGCAGGAGTGCAGATGTATGTGGCAGGGAGGCTGATTGTGTGGCAGGGGTGTTGTGTGGCAATTGTGTTGTGTGTGAAATGGGTGCTGATTGTGTGGCAGGAGTTCTGATTGTGTGGCAGGGGTGCTGATACATTTGGCAGTGTTGATTGTGTGGCAGGGGTTCTGTTTGGCAGGAGTGCTGATTGTGGCAGGTGCTGATGAATGTGGCAGGGGTGCTGATGAATGTGGCAGGGGTGCTGAGGTATGTGGCAGGGGTGCTGATGTATGTGGCAAGGGTGCTGATGTATGTGGTAGGGGTGCTACTGTGGCAGGGATGATGTGGCAAGGGTGTTGATGTATGTGGCAAGGGTGTTGAGGTATGTGACAAGGGTGCTGATGTATGTGGCAGGGGTGCTGATGTATGTGGCAGGGGTGTTGATATATTTGGCAGGGGTGATGTGTGTGGCAAGGGTGCAGCTGTATGTGGCAGGGGTGTTGATGTATGTGGTAGGGAGGCTGATTGTGTGGCAGTGGTGCTGTCTAGTAGGGGTGTTGTGTGGCAGTTGTGTTGTGTGTGGCATGGGTGCTGATTGTGTGGCAGGAGTGCTGATGCATGTGGCAGGGGTGCTGATACATTTGGCAGTGTTGATTGTGTGGCAGGGGTTCTGTTTGGCAGGAGTGCTGATTGTGGCAGGTGCTGATGAATGTGGCAGGGGTGCTGAGGTATGTGGCAGGGGTGCTGAGGTATGTGGCAGGGGTGCTGAGGTATGTGGCAAGGGTGCTGATGTATGTGGTAGGGGTGCTGATGAATGTGGCATAGGTTCTGATTGTGTGGCACGAATGCTGATTCTGGCAGGAGTGCTGATTTATGTGGCAGGGGTGCTGTGTGGCAGGAGTGCTGATTGTGTGGCAGGGATGCTGATTGTGTGACAGGGATGCTGATGTATGTGGCAGGAGTGCAGATGTATGTGGCAGGGAGGCTGATTGTGTGGCAAAAGACTTGGCAGACGATGCACCATCCCCCCAATGAAAAGCAGGGGTGTCACTAGCACGTTAAGAGACCATACAATAAGTGTCAGGGGCCCGAGACTGTTCAACTGCCTCCCAGCACACATAAGGGGGATTACCAACAGACCCCTGGCAGTCTTCAAGCTGGCACTGGACAAGCACCTAAAGTCAGTTCCGGATCAGCCGGGCTGTGGCTCGTACGTTGGTTTGCGTGCAGCCAGCAGCAACAGCCTGGTTGATCAGGCTCTGATCCACCAGGAGGCCTGGTCACAGACCGGGCCGCGGGGGCGTTGACCCCCGGAACTCTCTCCAGGTAAACTCCAGTGTTGATTGTGTGGCAGGGGTTCTGTTTGGCAGGGGTGCTGATTGTAGCAGGTGCTGATGTATGTGGCAGAGGTGATGTGGCAAGGGTGTTGATGTATTTGGCAAGGGTGCTGATTGTGGCAGGGGTGCTGATGTGTGTGGCAGGGGAGCAGCTATATGTGGCAAGGGTGTTGATGTATGTAGCAAGGGTGTTGATGTATGTGGCAAGGGTGTTGATATGTGACAAGGGTGCTGATGTATGTGGCAGGGGTGCTGATGTATGTGGCAGGGGTGCTGATATATGTGGCAGGGGTGATGTGGCAGGGGTGCTGATATATGTGGCAGGGGTGATGTGGCAAGGGTGTTGATGTATTTGGCAGGGGTGCTGATGTGTGTGGCAGGGGTGTGGCTGTATGTGGCAAGGGTGTTGATGTCTGTGGCAAGAGTGTTGATGTATGTTGCAGGGGTGCTGATTTGTGTGGCAAAGGTGTTGATGTGACAAGGGTGTTGATGTGGCAGGGGTGTTTATGTGGCAAGGGTGCTGATGAATGTGGCAGTGGTTCTGATTCTGGCAGAAGTGCTAATTTATGTGGCAGAGGTTCTGTGTGGCAGGCATTCTGAATGTGTGGCAGGAAGGAAAAAAAACTGGCAGGAAATGGCAGAAATCGTACACCAAATCCAGTCATTCCTGGAGTGGAACCACAGTCGATGGCCTCCACTCCAAACCAACAGATACAGATACTAATGCCGGAAAAAAAAATCCCCCCCCAGTACCAACAATACCACCAGTCCGATAACATTCTTCTTGGCAAATATACAGGGTCTAAAGCCAGCAACAAACAACAAAATACCTTTCATCCGTGGACTGCTTGCAGAGGCAAAGGCAATGTTCGCGGCTTTCACTGAGACCCACATAAAGGATCACTTGGACAACGAAATATGGATCCCAGGTTACAACCTATACAGATGTGACATAGTGAACAGGCAAAAGGGGGGGGGGGTTGGCCTGTACATTGCAGAGTCACTTGTTTGCACAGAACTGCTAAATGCCTCAAATGATGTAGTGGAAGTTTTAGCAGTAAAGGTCGAGAACCAAAACCTAGTCATTGTGGTAGTCTACAAGCCTCCGGATGCAACATCCCAGCAATTCCAGGAACAGCTGTTAAAAATTGACCACTGTCTGGAAATCTTCCAGCTCCTGCACCCAACATCTTGCTCCTGGGGGATTTCAACTTAAGGCACCTAAAATGGAGGAATATAGCAAATAATATTGTTGCAGTAATAACACCAGGAGGCAGCTCTGATGAAAACTCACACTCACGCGAGCTTTTAAATCTCTGCACAAAATTCAATTTAAACCAGCAAATAATAGAGCCTACTAGACTGGAGAATACACTAGACCTCATCTTCACAAACAATGATGATCTGATAAGAAATGTCACCATATCAAAAACAATATATCAGATCACAACATAATTGAGGTTCAGTCATGTATGCGCGGAGCCCAGACCGACATAATGAGATTAGTCACGAGGGAGCATTCACCAAATTAAACTTAATAACAAAAACATAAGTGGGACCAGTAAACAAGTCCTAAACTGATATAAGCTGGGAAGTATAAGCAACACAGACCCCAACTTATGCCTAGAACAGATTAACTCGGTGGCACTCGATGTATGCACAAGGCTTATTCCTCTAAGAAAAAGGAGGAGTAGATGTAAAATAGAAAGAGACAGGCGCTCCCTTTACAGGCGACGGAAAAGAATAACAGAGCGGCTAAAAGAGGTCAATATATCTGAAATGCGTAGGGAGACACTGGTCAGAGAAATAGCAAGCATCGAACTTAAGCTAAAGAATCCTTTAGGAGTCAGGAATCGCGGGAAGAACTAAAAGCCATAAATGAAATCGAAAGAAACCCAAAGTATTTCTTCTCCTATGCCAAATCAAAATCGAGAACAACGTCCAGTATTGGGCCCCTACTTAAACAAGATGGGTCCTACACAGATGACAGCAAGGAAATGAGTGAGCTACTCAAGTCCCAATATGACTCAGTTTTTAGCAAGCAGCTAACCAGACTGAGAGTCGAAGATCAAAATGAATTTTTTATAAGAGAGCCACAAAATTTGATTAACACAAGCCTATCCGATGTTATCCTGACGCCAAATGACTTCGAACAGGCGATAAATGACATGCCCATGCACTCTGCCCAGGGCCAGACTCATGGAACTCTGTGTTCATCAAGAACTGCAAGAAGCCCCTATCACGAGCCTTTTCCATCCTATGGAGAGGGAGCATGGACACGGGGGTCGTCCCACAGTTACTAAAAACAACAGACATAG